TGTATAAATAAATAATAATAAATTATTAATAAATTAATAAATTTAATTATTAGAGCGCATGAAATTGTTTCTTATGGAAATAGAGAAGTGTAAAGAAGGAATATTCGTACACTATATCGGAATTACACCTTATATTAACATATTTAAGCCAGAATACTTGCAGGTAAATAAAATTTATTTACTAATAGAAAATAACATCCGTTATATTTTCTACAATAATTAATACATTATTTAAGCACGAAGAAGCATCTTTGTGTACTGTGATGATATATAACATTCTCAAGTATTTATATAATAACTGTTTATATAATAACTGTTTTTATAAATTTATTATTTTAAAACTAAAAATTAAAAAAAGGAAAAGATTACATCGAAATCCTGTTTGTCTCTATTATAATGTGTAGTAATCAAATTTTATTGTATACTATTTAGTACAATGTAAATGATTATTTTATAAATATTTATTAGTAAAGATAGAACAGAAAATGGGCTAAAAATTTTCTTGTGTGTAAATATACTAAAAAAAATTAACTTTTATTTTTATAAAAAATTTACTTTAATAAATTGAATTTTACAATGTCACTATTAGTATTGTTACTGAAGAATAGAGATTTCTTTATTATAATAGCGAAATAAATTATAAATTTAACACAACAAAGTTTTTAATAAATAATATTAACTCTAGTAAGTCATTATTTTTGATTACCTAATCTGGTATTTCTGGTCACAGATTTATGAAACTCTGCAACTTTGTCACACTATATCTCTGGATTGAATACGTATTGTTTATCTCAAAATCTATGAAATTTATACCTCAAAATCAAGCAAAGGCAGATAAATAAACCAAATAAATAATATTTTATTTTTAATTAATCACAATGCTTCAAAGAACTTATGTTGGAAAAATTTGCAAAAAATTACTTTGAAAAAAATTCTCAAATTTTAAATTTTATGTGCAAGAAGGAAGTAGGATTTTTTTAATTGATCTTTTTGGACTATCAAAAAAAAAAGATAATACGACTCGCTAAAAAGAAAATAATTATTTGAATTATCGAAAACCAACATTTTTGAAAAATCTATACATATAATCTATATATATATACAATTAATAAATAAAATTTTATTATTTAAACAATACAAAATGATAGATAAATGATTGTACATGTATAAATATTATTATAGTATGTAAAATTAAATTTATTAGGATTTAGTTTAGAGGATGATACAACACTCGCTCCAAAGCAATTATCCGTCCCGGTTGAGCGATCTCCGAAAAGTGACAAAAATTTAAAAATTTCTATTTAATTATATTAAATATAATTCTTTTTAATTCTTTTCATGTACTTATTTTTATACTATTCCAAAATCATTAAACATATATTTAATAAAAAATAAGGGGGTATCCTGAAAAGGGATATGCCGAAAGCTTGCAAGTTAGTCACGTATGGATCCTCAGTACTCTCTTTGAACTTTCATACATTCTCACATCGAGAATAACGTACAAAAAATATCCTTGCAGATTTATCATATCTATGGATAGTTAATGTTTTTTTCAGTCTTCTTCTCTCAATTCGGATCTTCAAATTATATTATAAAAAAGTTACAGCAATTTGAAAATAGGGTACGTTGAATCAATGAACTTACTAGGGTTAATCAGTAAATTCTTTTTCTATTTATAATTGACGAAATTTATTGTAGCACTTAAAATTTGTTGTACACTTATCAGCAAAAAAATGAATTACTAAATTTTAGGACAATTTTTAATATGTTTGAGTAGTGATGTCTAAACAAAATTTTAACGAGATGTACCAAAAAACTTAAATTAAAGAGTTTGAACATTCTCATTAATAACCATGTAGATCAAATTTGACAAAGTGTATTATAAAATAACGGACATTAAAAATAGACATTGAAAGGAAAAACATTTTTTATTCAAACTATTGCGTTATTCAGGGGAATTGGCTATCAGGCATAAAAGTGTATGAGTTTTTAAGATCATTGATTTCCATACAAATCCGTATATGAAACATTTTTCTATGATTTTTTAAACAAAATTATGTTTCAAAATAAAAAGTTACAAAATGGATAACTTTTACTTCTAAACTTAATGACAGACCGGGGCTATTTGAGACATTTCTTTTCTTTTACGATCTCTGAATCTTATATTCATAAAAAAAAATTTGGATTGGACGATTTAAAAGATTGAACCATATTGTTCATAATGTCGTTATAGATTAAATATTTTGTACTTATTTTACATATAAAAATGTTATACATACGTGTGCGACACACACACACACACACACACACACAATCTCACAATGATGATTTTTTGTTGTGATATCGCTACTCTATAAAATATATTATATATTAAAATATTATATATAAAAATATATATATAAATATATAAATATATATAATAATTTGTGCTAAAATTTAGTGGTCCGTTTTTTGCGGATGAATGTATATTAAAAATAAAAAATTTTTTATATTATTTCTTTGAATATTATTGGATTATATTTTTTTCGAACATTATAGCATATTTTACCTAGCACTGTAAATATCACAAAAGGAGATTTCTATGATATGCTGAAACCTTGGTTGGGCAATGGACTTTTGACATCTACAGGTAAACGTACAATAAACTACATATTTATTTTTCTCACATATTTATTAGGACTGGGCATGTATTCGAAATACTTTTATTTACAAAACGGTATTGGTAAGACAATTTTATTTTGTATTTTGTGTTTGTTCGGACTACATAAAATATTTTGTATTTTGTAATTCATGGGAGCATATAAAAATATTTTGTATCTTATATTTTAGTATTAATTTAATTTAGTATTATTTAATTTAGTATTAATAACAAACGATTATGAAAGTATTTTATATTTTGTATTTTAAATACTAACATTGATAATCAATCTTATTACTTGAATTACAAAATATAAAAAAGTTTCAATTTTTTGATGTTAAATACAAAATACGTAATACTTTTATAATCCGTTAAAATAAAAAATACAAAATATGCTAGTACTGCAAATAGTATGTTTTAAATCAAAGTATTTCAAATACATGTCCTGATATTTATTACATATTTATTTTTCTCTTACATTTAAATTTTTATTAAAAATAAATAGCAAATTGTTTCAGGACTGGGCATGTATTTGGAATACTTTTATTTTAAAAAAAGTATTTGTATTACAATTATATTTTATATTTTGTGCTTTAAGGAGCGCATAAAAATATCTGTATTTCGTATTATACGAAATATATTAAAATATTTTAAATTTTGAATTTCAAATACTTGACAATCAATTATCTTAATCTTCAATTATGTTAATCTTATCTTAATCTATTATTTGAATTATGGTATACAAAAAATGATAAATATTCACATTTTAGAGCAGACTTCTCCGATGGCCTTGACTTTAAAATATGTTATCAAAATCATGAGCCTGAGTAATCTCCAACAAGTTTATTCGGCTAAACAAAGAAAATTAGAAAAAATAGTTCTTATTTCTGTATATTTCTATATATAATATTAGAGACTATTCCATATCTTTCTTGCTTACGTAACTTTTTACGCAAACGATTTTCATACTATCTCTCCTCTTAGAGACACATGACTTTTCATGCATTGAGAATTCTATCCTATCTCGCCAAGTTGCTGCGCCCCTGAAGCAGAGGTAGAGATGAGATGGGAGTCGCTTCGCATGTAAGTCGTATACCTCTCAATCGAGGAAAGGTGCGATGAAAGTTGCTTCGCATAGATAGTCGTAAAATATATTTTAATGCAGAAAATTTTTGTTTTGTATATGTAGTGAAAAAAAATCATTTTTAAACTTTTCTTCTTAATAACTTTTTAACAAATAAACATAAACGACAACTAAAATTGGAGGTTACTCAGAGATCTAGACAACAAGATCTAGACATGATCTAGACAACAAGATCTATGTCAAGATCAAGGTCATCAGAGAGGTTTCCCCTAAAGTAAACATTTATCCAAAAAATTTTCAATTTTAAATACAAAATACATAATACTTTCATGTGCTTCGTTAAAATACGAAAAACAAAATACACTTGTATTGCAAATAATATGTTTTAAATAAAAATATTTCAAATACATGTCTAACCCTTGGCTTATTTTTATCATGTACGCTACTTTAATATATAATCATTCATGAAAAGATTGAAAATTGAGTCACTTTTTTTCGAGACAGGTTCAATTAGAGAGTTTGACTGTATAGTTAATTTGATTATTTATGTTGTTCACGTGCTAGAAAATTGTGCAGTGTTTCACGAACTTTTTTCTTATTTATATCGTTAATATCCAGTATTAACAAGTAAAGAAAATAGAAAATCAAAAACAAAAACGATAAAAAAAATATCTATTTTTTTTTAATTGACAAGGAAACATTCCCAAGTGTAAATCTCAGAATAAAAGCGAACCTATATAAATTTGTTGTAACAGATATATTAGGTGTAGTAAAAAGAAATCCATTATTTTTGAATGGAAAAATAATACAATTTCTTTTTAGTACACCTAATATAATGAATAGTAACTAATAAGAGCAAAATTCATCATTTACCATATATGAGCTTATATACATATATAAGCTATCGATATAAACTATATTTTCGATATAAGCAAAAATATATATCAAATATATTTAAATTTTTACGTATAATTAACGATTCTATTTTATTAATTCTTGCTTTTTAGCAAAATAAAATTTTTTTTGATCGCCGAAATTATTTCAAAACTTATAAATTACAATAGAAATAATGGAATTTACACGTGCAAGTATTTCCTTGTGAATTAAAAAGTATTCTTTTGTAAAAGTCTCTCTTTATTTTTTGCGATATTTATACAATTTTATTTTTATATGTGTATCACATTTTAATGCTTCAGGTGAACAATGGTTCCACGATAGAAAACTCATCGGGCCAACGTTCCATTTTAGTGTATTAGATCAATTTGCTATGATTGTGTTTGAAAAAGCAGAGATTCTGACAAAGTGTCTCCAAAAAGAGATAGAAAAGGATCCAGGAAAAGCCGTTAATATTTTCCCTTTTATTATCAATGTTGCTCTCGATATTATCTGCGGTAATGTGTCATGTTTTTAATTACAATGTATATAATTATAATATTTTGTGAGAAAATACGTTTTATTTATTGATATAGTCATTTTATGCAGCAAACTTTATCAATTAATTTACGAATAATAAAAAAATATATAAACGATAAAGATGCTAGAAGGTTTGCGGGTCATCGCCGTGCTTTATTAGGGTGAGGAGCGAACTGATACTACATCTAGTATTAGTATTAGTGCGCTCCTCGCCCTGATAAAGTGAACGTTGGACGCAATGTTCACGAAACGTTAGCATTAGCAACGAACAAAAACACGGCGATTACTCGTAAACTTTCTAACATTCTTAAAAATAATAGCTATGAAAAAATCGTTATATAAAGGGTAATTTTAATTGTATTATTATAAGCAATATGACAAAAGGATTTATCAATAATATTAGTTATTGTCTACAGAAACAGCAATGGGTGTGGATATACATGCTCAAGAAGTTGTAACCAAATATACATCAACAGTACACCTGTCAGTTTTTAAAATTCTTATACTGCTATCATACTGTCCAACGCCATTTTCCAACATGAGTGTGAATAATTATTTTCCATATCATTGTTTGCTGATAATGAAAAAAATCTGTTAAATTACGTTACAATTTCAAGAATAATGACATTAAAATGATAAATTTAAGAGTTTTCATAAAATTATAAATAATAAATGTTTTAATTATTAAAAAATGTTTTAATTAAATTTTTGTTAATACTATGCGAAAAGAATTTTTAAAACTTGTTTTGCATTTTGTTTTGTTTCGATATGTTTTTGTTTTCACGATATAGCAATTTGGTAATAATTTTTTTCTCATGTGCGTTACATAAAAAAGACATTTTGAATACATGAAAAATTATATTATAACAACAGGCATTTTAAATTTAGAAATTTTAATGGTACTTTCGTGTATCATTAATGATAAATATCATTAATGATATTTTTAAAAATTCCCTTCGAGCTAACAATATCACAAAAATCTCAATCGTCATTTCTTGCTTCTTTAATGCTATTTGCCTCAAAATTGTAATATGATAGTCAACTTCGTTCACAAATCAAAAATACATAAAAAATGATAAAAATCAATGTCTTAAACGGTCTAGCTGGACCTTAAATGCTTGTATGATTTTTGTGTGAATTTATATACTGATATTCTTCGTAATAATTGGCATATGAAGGAACAATGTCTCTTTAGGCGACATAAATGAACAATATATTATAGGACCGTATATGTGATAACACAAACTATAATTATCGCATATATAGTTCTATATATATAGTTCTAATATATTATATTGTTTAATTCCCGTCGCTTAAAGAGACGTTGTTTCTTCATATGTTCATTATTGCGAAGAATATCTCTAAAGCCTCGGTAGTCTAAAAGTTTAGCATAATCCCAAGGAATGCAAGAGATCTGGATTCGATTCTCGATCGAGATAAAATTTTTCGCAATAAGAATTAATTATTTACAGATTTTAATATGTCATTCAGTATTATTAAGATCGTTTCGAAGATGCAAATAAGCATCAAAAATTTGTTAAATTGCTAGTCAATTTAACTCATAATATTACTATGGTAGTTTAGTAGAGTTAGCGTTTTCAAGACCGAAATATCATTTCGGCATGCGTTTCTGGGACCACTATATACGTATATAAATTCACACAAGAATCATATTATATAAGATCCAGCTAGATTGTTTAAACCTTTAATTTCTATAATTTGTGTTATCATATATACGATCCTAACATAATATATTATATTACATATAAAATAGTTATTCATGTTCGTGTTGCAAAAAATGTTTTGTCGGACAGTATTATTAATAAAACAGCTAATGAATTATTACTTGCGTGTTAAGAATTAATGATAAATTTTAATAATTATTTACATAATATGTTTATACTTAATTATTAAAATTACATATTATGTAGTTTACGTAAGTTAAACGACAATCGTACTTTTAGAACTTCCTCGTTAACAACAAAACGACTATTTCGACCGTGGCATTGGATTGAATGGTTGTACTATTTACTGCCTACAGGGAAACAGTTTAAATCAGCGCTTGATATATTACATGGATTTACAAAAGAGGTACAGAAATGCTAAAAATGTTTGTATTTAGCCATTTAAAACAGTTAAAGTTTTACTAAAATGTTTATATTATTATGAAGAATGTTCATATTTACATCTGACACGATAAATTTTATATAGGTGATAAGAAAGAGAAAAATTGAACGACAATCGCAAAACGGCCATACGGAACTCGAAAATGAAGATAATGAATTTAATATAGGTGCGATTGTAAATTTGAATTATATATTGTACTTTATACAGATTATAGATACATAATTTATTTAGGTACTTTATATATATTCCTTATTTAATAAAATTTATTATATTAGGTAAGCGTAAGAGACAGGCGTTCTTAGATTTATTATTAGATCAGAATGAGAAATCTGATACTCCTTTGACCGATGATGAGTTGAGAGCGCAAGTTGACACATTCATGTTTGAAGTAAGACGTCCGACTTAAAATTAAAATTAAAATTTTACAATTATTATACATAAAATTTTCCGTTTAATTAAATTAACAAGATATATCTATAAAATATATAATATCTATGAAAAGGACATGTAAAATAATATAAAAAATGTTAATAGGGACATGATACAACTGCAGTTGCGATAACTTGGACGCTCTTTCTTTTGGGCAATAATTTAAAGCATCAGGCAAAAGTTCATGAAGAACTCGAGGAAGTTTTCGGAGATTCAGAAACACCAGCCAGTTTAAAGGAGCTGTCGAAATTAAAGTATCTCGACAGAGTCATAAAGGAGACACTCCGAATATTTCCGAGTGTACCTATAATTACAAGGGAATTATCGAAAGATGTAAAAATAGGTTGGTCATAACTTTATCTGCTACTTAAGTAAGAATTTCAAAATATGCACCAATATGTAAATTCATTCATAATAAAATAATTAAATTAAAAGTGTGCGAATCAGCATTTGCCAAATTGAATCGAATAGAATCGAAGCTGAAATCATTACACTGAATCAAATCGAATCGAATCTTTTTGATTCAAAAACGAATCAAATTCGGAAATTTTCACATATTGATATCTGAAAAAAATTTTAAAGCTGAAAAAATTCATTTTAAATGTATAAGTATATCAAAAAATTGATAATATGACATAAACGTATTAAGAAAATAAATCATTTTTGCATATAGTAAATTATACTATAAAATGTAGTAACGACAAATATAAATTGAAAGTACATAAAATCAAACATTTATTACTACCAAGATTTGGAACTTAGTAGCAAAGTTAGATGGTTATTACGAAATTATTATATCACAAATACAACCAAATTATTAATTGTTTTAAACAAAATAATTTGGTAATTGGGACCAAATAATCCCTTTTATATAATAAAAAAATTTATATCTTAACGAAAAAAATAATTTTTTGTTATTATTACTTTTTATTTTCCCATTGTAATGCATTATTTACTGTTTTGCATACCTATTTTCTATCTTATTAACTATTTAATTAATTAATTATTAAAAAACGCATCGTCGGTAAGATTTACGAGAACTTACGATCCCTAGAACGATAGTCTAATACATTTACGCTGAGCTAATTTAGGATTCGCACTATTAGGATAAAACATTACCAATGTTACTTATACTTTCTATTGTAACATTCTTAATTTCATATCTCTGCTGCCAGTTTAATATTATTAATATTTGAGGAGAGTACATGGAATGAAATAATACTCTGTTATTTATTATATATAGTTAGGAAATGACAATTCTCCTCAGTCTTGTGACGTATTTCGTCTCGCTGCGATCTGAGTGTTGCGTGTTTTATTTTCGAGCATGTGTGATCGGCTTTGATATACAATAATTTTTATTTATATAGTTTTTCTTAAGAAAAATGTTAAATTATCATTTATATAAATGTGGTCAAAAATACTATTGTTACACGAAAAAAAAAGTTTGGAATAGTAGAAAATGAACGATCCAGAATTCTAATTAAGCTTACTAAATTTCTGGTTAAATTTAGATTGATAGAAGATTACATTCTGATTATTTTAAATTCTGGTAAATTGGAAATTGGTTATTTCAACTAGAATTCTGGTAGATTATGAATTTATTTTGAAACATGTAGTATTTCGCTATTAAATTAATATTTTGTTATGTACTCCGACATTAATTATGTGTATGTAATGTTTAATTAGATTCCGTATAGAAGCAACAATAATTTCTTAAAAATGCCATTGTATATTTGTATTATTATTATATGTAGTCTTGGAGTTATTGAGAGAGAGAAAGAGAGAGGGCCCTGAAATACCTTTATCATTTATCAATCAATTTATCATGTCTGAGCGCTCGAATATCAGCTCCGATCAGTAAATTTTGATTGCTATTAATTTAAAACCTATTATAATCTCGATTTCTCATATTAATATTTTCGTCTTAGAATGTTGTCAAAGAATCCATTTTTGAAACACTCTGTATATACATTAATTTGTTTTTCTTTTATTTTATAGATAATTTTATACTTCCGAAAGGTGTTATGGTCGTGTTGGCAATCTTATTAACACACCGAAATCCGGTGGTTTGGCCGGACCCATTGAAATTCGATCCGGATCGCTTTCTTCCAGAAAACTCGAAGAACAGAAATCCGTACGCCTATATTCCGTTCAGCGCTGGACCAAGAAACTGTATAGGTCAGAAATTCGCTCAACTCGAAGAAAAAACCGTGTTGACTGCTATTCTCAGGAAATGGAGAGTGAAAAGTGTGAAAACAGTCGACACGATTAAATTCGAAGGTTCTCTCACTTTACGACCAAGTGAAGATGTATTAATGCATTTCACGCCGAAGAAATGAACAATTTGTTATCAAATAAGATAGTTGGCCCAGAAATCGTCAAGATACTAGTAATCGAAATTTCATGCATTAAAGACGTATTTTAGTGCTTTCTGTCGAGCGTGAGACTAGCTAATATTTTTATTGGTTTCAAGAAAGTATTTATAATATTGTGTTACATTGTGAAAGTCCTAAATATATGAATTCACTATTGATTAAATCGAATATGTGCAGCAACCGAGCCTGTGTGATTTCGATCAACTGTTTCATTATGAAGTTAAAAGACATTGTTTGACATCTCGTGTGATTTTGGAGTATTGGCAACTTGTATGAAATAAATTGAGCTTCGAATTATAAATCGAGATCACAGTTTTATGTTTTGATCGCAGTTTTACACATATTACTATTTCATTATCATATTTCATTATCATATCATATTTCACATATTTATTTATACGTTTTTTTACGTGACATGTACTGGTTCACTGAAGCACGTTCGAGCCATATCTGTCGATTACTAGCTGAAAAAAATTCTTGTCAAAATCAATAATAATGTATCCAAAATTGAAATAAAAAAATTAGATCCGTAATTGTTATCTAGACATTCTACGGACCAGTAATCATCATAGGCATAGTCGAGTTAATAAATTGATACGCAAATAAATAAAGAATGTCGATTACTAGATCATTTCGATAACTGGTACGTCTAGAACAGAGATCGGCACTATTCGAATAAAAATTAATTTACAATTCTTTTCTATTCTTCTAAAACAGCTATTAATATTTGTAATATAATGATAGTTCTGAAAAAAAAAAAAAGAAATTATAAAAA